ATTCGTTTGTTTGATAGTTGAAACATCAGGCGAAGGAGAAGATCACCGAGGCTGGGGAGGACAGTCTCTTCGCGCCATTGGAACAAGTGAGTATTAAAACAATAATTATGATATTTCAATGCCACGCACTTACGATATTTAAATGTTACTCAATTAAATATTAAATATTTGACAGTCAAGTTAGATTAAATTAAATGTTTGGTAGTTGAACTGAACGTCATATATTTGGTACAAAGTTCAAACATTTCATTTGCTTTCGTAAATATTGAACAGTTGACGCAACAGACGAAGAAAGCCATGGGCGAAGCAACGAAATCTGTTCAGGAGGCATCGAAGACCGCTCTGGAGGCGAGCAAAACGGCAGCTGGAGTCAGTAAAAATACACTCGACGATTTGACATACGTGGGCAAGAGCACGTTTGGGGACTTGACGAAAAGTGCCAAAGAGGTTGCTACGAAGAAAGGTTTACTCAAGGTACGGTTACCTCATTACCAATTAACAAACAATCTAACGAACGTCCTAAGTTTGATATCGTAAAAATTGTATCTCTCTTTAGATTCAAGTTGTTCGTCTCGTTGGATTTTGAAAGATCATTAGATCGTTTCTGTTTCTTCTGGAGACTCTCTGGAGAAAAATACTTTGAAAAAAAAAAAAGAAAAATACAAAAATACTTTGAACGAGTTTGATAAGACAGTTATTATCGTGCATTGGTGTGGGGAATAATACGAGTGTTAAAGCATTAAAAGTATAATAGGTTATTTCTTTCAAAGAACGTGGTTCCGTTTGGAATGAAAAAAGTGGGATTCCCACGAGAAAACGAAATTCCAGAAGCTAGAGTTCTGCCACTCAACTAGAAAAAAGTCGAAGCAACATAACGAAATGAAATTGTGTTTATAGGGTCTTGGCGATTCGCAGCAATCACCACCATCGCCTCCTGGCATGTTACAACGAAGGGATTCGAGTAGCACGCAATTGGTCGCTTCGGATAATCGCGGAGGGCGCCGGGACATCGGACGTGATTTTTTCAGCAATATTAGTAGTGATTTAAACGGCATTGCTACGCAAACGAGCAACATGTTTAGCGATTTGTTTGGTACGTTTCGTCCCCTCCTGTCTTTTGCTTATAAAGAGAATGAAATGTAAAGAGGTGTACGCAAAAGATGAAAAAAAAGAAAACCATAACATAACTATTTGCTACGTGACACTTTAGTCTCATTTTCTTTTTCTTCTTTTTTCTTATTGCCAAAATGTGAAAACTTCGGAACACCGTTGTATATGCTTATACATAATTATTTATGTTGATATAATTAATTATTTATTTATATTAATGTAGCTTATCTACAATCATGTATATCAAAAATATAAAACATTTTAAAGTAGCAACGAGACACGAATATCATGATTATGTTAGTCAGAAATTATTTTAAATATATATATATATATTTTTAAAAATTATTTTAAAATATATAATATATATATAATATATATAGTCAGAAATTATTTTGAATATATATATATTTTTTAAAAAATATATATACATATTATTTTAAAAATATAAATATATATTTCAATTATTTTCGTGATCCTCTATATTTTAAAATATACTTTTTTTTCTTTTACGTTCGCAGGTAGTAAAAGTAGTTCTAATCGAAATACCGGCCTCCTTCAGTCTCAAAAGGCGGACAAGAAGACACCAATACTCGGACCCTTCCCCAAAAGTATTTATCATCCTTTCAATTGGTTAATCTCGTCCACTTA